CATTACCGCTCTTCTCCCTACCCGAAATAAATTATCCACAAATTCTTCATTGTTTCCCAGTAAATTTGGATCAGGGTTCCATGTTTCAAGGGGAATAACTTTCCATCCCCATGGCCAAGGGATGTCTAGGACCAGTTGAGACAGATACGGTCCCACCATCTCCATGTCCAAATAGAGCCCGGGCATTGCATAAATATATGCTCAATGGTCTCAGGAGTCGTTTTACTCGGATAGGCTGATCTGCAGAGTTTGCACCATCTTGTTGCTAATCCTTTCTGTTATAGAGAGAATCTGTCAATCATCCAATCGTTGGTAGGGAGACACCTGTGTTCAATTTGCCATTGAAGAGACATAATTTTGGCTGGTTTGTCTTTGACTGATTTAAACCACTTGACAAACCTTAACTCCTCTTTACTTATATTAAGGTGTTTCATCCATCTAGTGGAAATTATATCCTTAAGATTAAATTTTGGACCTAGCATACGACCCAATTGGCCGGGTCCAGTGGAAGTTTAGAGATGGGACAGTCCGGTTTGAAGGCCAGCCAAGATTCATTTCTTCTCATTACCCTTATCCTGAAAATGTGATGAGCTTGAACCCAACGAGTTTCCCCTTGAGACGTTGGAACTATAGTATTGGATGACGTCAATGAGAAAATTTGTAGGAGGAAGTCCTCATTTTGGCCTTTCTCCAAAATCAAACCAACTGACTGAGGATGAGATTTGACTGCTACCCAATCATTCAGCATTAATTTGGGTCCTCCCCTAAGTATCTTAATCCATTCAAGGGGGATGAGATCAATTATCTTTTCTAGAGCGTCCAGTGAATGATGACAATACCGTAGTCTCTCCTTAAGATCAGAAAGGTCTTTCCAGTCATTAGCGTCCATATTCCATATATCGTTAATCCTCAAGATTCCATTTTTTATCCATCCTTTCCATGGTGAATGCATACAATGTAGACCATACCCTTGAGAGTCTCTAATCCATCTATTATCGAATAGAGGCTGCTGACAAACTTCCTCCCACCTCTCTGGCGATAGCTTGTCTGTTAGAGGAAGCTGCCTCCAGGTCTTAATCGTGGTCACCCAAAACAAATCATTTTTCAAGTCTTGCCTGACTTCCTGTCTGTTTGAACTTGTTACTGTCACTTCAGCCCTAGAAATCCCCCTTTGAATGGTCCAAGATCGGTTTTCCAACCATGTCAATGGGTCAACTTCCTCAGTTGTCACTGGAGCTAGGCGCTTGATTTGTTCCACTGCTAAGGGTGCCCATGGAGTCTGAGGATTGAATAATAAGAGTTGGATCCATTGGATTGAAAGAGCCTTAACCTGAGTTGGAGGATCCAAAATTCCCAAACCTCCTTTCACTTTTGGTTGGATAAGGGACTGCCATGCAACTCTGTTAATAACATTATTACACTTATGATTACCCCTCCATAGAAAAGCAGTTATTTGACACTGAAGATGCTTAAGGAAGTGCTTATCCAGAGCCCAAATCCCAGACTTATACCAAATAGATGCTAAGACTACATTATTAATAATCATCGATCGTCCAAAAATAGAGGTATGTTTATTCTTCCACAATTCCATCTTAGCCCTAGCAGGTTGGGAGATCCATTCATTATGGGAAATTGGTTTTCCTTCTGCTGATAATGAGATCCCTAACACTTTGATGGGAGTATCAAGGGATAGCCACTTGATTCTTGGTATCTCTGGTGGTCTCCCTCCTTGGTGATGTATCCACCAACCTGTTGTTTTACTTCCCCAATTAACTTCCATATCTGAAAGCCGACAGAACTTATCCATTAATATTTGAATTTCTTCCATATGAGAAGTTCATTTACAAGTAGGATATTATCCTGAATGTTCCTACCAGATATGAAACTCGTATGAGATGGATGAATAATATTTGAAATTATTGTGGACATTCGATCTGCTAGTGCTTTTGCAATAAGCTTATAGACCACTGTGAGAAGGGTTATCGGGCGGTAATTTCTTATATTCGTCTTGTCTCCCTTCTTGTAAGCAGAGTAAGAACTCCCTGTCCTACAAATTCGCCCATGTCCCCTGATTCCCAAACCGCATGATAATAGT